GTGCAGCATGGTGCGCCGCGAGAAACATCTGCTCTGGACGGCCCGCCATGCTCAGGCTTGGTCTTGGTGCTGACATGCCCCGGGGTGCCCATGCTCCTGCAGGGCCAAGAGGCACGTTCAGGATTCTGCTGCACGCTCTGCGCTGCGCTGTGTGACAGGTGGGCGATTGCCGGCCCTTCTGCTGGCCCAACGGACCAGCTTTGGACTGGGACCGGGTAGGGGCCCAATCTGGCAGGGTCTGAAGTGGTGAAGTGGCGAAGTGCTGTGCAAACGGCACACGGTGCAGGGGCGCAGCATGCCCCGAGGTCGCGAAGACTTCTGGCATCCCAGCGCCATCCTGAGCTTTCCATGCTTTCCAGCATGACATCTTCTCCGACCTCAAAACCAAGTACACGCCAGCCAAGCATTCCAACGCTCCTTGAGCCCCGAAACCCGATTCAAACCTTCATAATATGCCGCCCGAAGCCCCAAAACCATCCAAAGCCCCCTTCATCCCGAAAGTCCAGGCGGCCTGGAAGCGGCTTTGCAAGGACTTGATTGCCCTGAGGCGGATGGGCTTCTCGGGCACTGGGAACTGGAACTGACCGATTTCAGGATCTTGAAGGGTTGAGGATCCGATCCAGAGGTTGCTGTCTGGGTCATCCTGAAGTATGGTGTGCTTGTATGGGGCCATGCTTCTACGCTGCGGTAGCTTGCTTTGTTTCTCTGAGGGCGTGCTTTTCCAGGGTGGGGCGCACCGGAACACCAGCAGCCAGTCCGCTGCAGGGTGACGGTGCAGGGGCCCTGTTCTTTTCAAGATCTTGTCAGAGCTGTGCTGATTTCACGAGCCATCTCTTCTCCGCGTGCCCTTTTGAGCCCGATTGTACGAGCTATGCTGAAGCCAGCAGCTGCAACGCATGAACCAGAACAATGGCTTCATGGCCCCTTCTATGGAGTACTTGGTAGGTATACGTACTCTTTGGGACCCCTTCCGCACACCGAGATCCACATCTTCCACGACCAGGGCGGTGTGCTGGCCTTCCTCCGTTGGCATGAAGCCGAGGAGGGGCATCGGCATATTTGACACGCGGCAAATCTGTAAATCAACATGCTTCTCTCCACGAGAGGAAACCTCCACAAGTCTGGCGTTTGGGAGTGGGTTCCCTGAGCTTCCGGCAAGAACTTTTGATGTTAATTTTCATGGGCAAGCTTGTAGAGGAGGTTCTTCAAGTGCACTCGAAGACTTCTTGTCGCACATTCGAAGCCTGCTTAGCCGGTGGACATATCCTTAGTTACCATCATATCGCAGGCACCAACAATGATCGTGTCATCCATCTTCGAAGTTATGCTTCTAGTCGTGACGGTTGATCCTTATCAAACGTGTCGGCCCGTAATTTCACCAGTTGTTTACAGTTTCCCTACTTTCCAATGGAACATTGAAAAAAAAACTCCAAGAAAGTTTCACAAGAAATCTCGCGCAGCACTTCGGAAGTCACTTCGTGCCTCCGTCCACGTGGAAGTCCCAAAGCCCTAAGTGTTTGAGCTTCGAGACGGTAAACATCGCCTGTGTCGGGAAATGGCTTTGCGTCAGAGCACACACACACAGGACGCGGATTTTCCATGGGCTTACTCTTCTGTGTTGGCCCTTCAGCACAACCAGTGGAGCGGCCTCGCGCACCTCGGCTCCGTGGGTTCTGACTCCATTTGGGCACATCTTGCGCTCCTCGCCGCATCACTTGAGCACTGCAAACCACCTGAGGGCACTATTGGTGTGCAGACTCCTTGAAAGCGTGGAAGCATGGTCTCGCAATGGGCAGGAGAGCAGGGAGAAGAACAACATCGGTGTCCGCTCCAGTCTCGGCACCTCTACACGTGCCATGGAAGATGGATTCTCGGATAGTCTTTCTTGCACCTGGTTTCGAAAGGATTAGCCCTTGTGGTCCTCAACTTCCGCAACCACAACTTCGGGCACTACAGCGTTGGGGTGGGATGGCCAAGTCGACCTGAAGTGGATGGTCTGTTTACAACTGTTACGAAGTTTGCCTCATGCAATCTCTGCTTCCAGATCTGTTTGTTGTAGTGGTCAACCCTTGCGACAGGTACCTCCTTCTCGGATTTGGCGCATCGCCGCGCCACTCAACTGCAAACTGATTCGGTGTTTTTCTAAACATGTTGCTAGTCGCGATGCATGGTCCTGCTTCCGTGGACGCGCCCCCTTTCTTCTTTCCCTCAGTCCCCCCTTTGCTTTTTTCTCCTCTGTCCTGCCCGAGACTTGGAATGCTCCAGTAGGCTACCTCCGGATTTAAGCGTGGCTCCTGACAGCGCGCGCCTAGCACCAGCTGTCAGCCCATGCGCTCCCTGCCAAAGGTTTTTTGGCCCCACCCCCGCCCTCACTCGTTCCGTTGTCCCTGCGTACATGCTGCCTTGCTCTCACGTCCATGTTGTAGTGCCTACAAACAGCGTACCGACCTCAGATACACAGCCAAAACCTCAGAAATCGGAACGATGATCACGGCCACGTGCCAACTGCTCACTGGGCTGTTGAAGCTGCTCCATTTCGGTTTCAAAACAACAGCTATTCGAAAGGCATTGCAGGTCAGGTTTCATTCGTGATCGAGTGCAAGTACAGCGCTTGCAAGCGGTTTGTCTGACGCATTAGCCATGCGAGGAGCACCCCCAGACTGGAGAACTTTCCGGAAGACATCCAGGTAGGTGAACTGGGACAGAAAAGGGCGCTCGTTGTGAGTTATGCAGATGCGCAGCGTTGTTGAAACCTTTCCGACTCATGCTGATCGTCATACTCCCGACGAAACCCTGAGCAGTTTTGCAGGTGATACAGCGTTGCGCTACTCACGGCTTTCCGAGCTGCATTGAAGTCCCTCTGGAGGCAAACTTTATGGCGCCTGGTTCAGTAAGCCGTTCTAGGGTTCGGAGATGTTTGGTTCTTGGATAGAAGGCTCGCCGTCTGCAGGTTCATGTTCATGCCCAGCGCAGCGGTGGTGAGCAGGAACTGCAAATGACCTGGTGGGCAAACACACACACACAGCAACTCCATGAAGCAGTTTCGGTTGTCAAACCAAAGGGTGCGCTCACTCCTTGCAGCTTCAACACTTGCAGCTTAGATCGACTACATGGCAGTGGAAGGAGCGATCCTGAATTGTTTGCGCTCCGCGCGTCCGCCTGAGCTGCTGCATTCAAGGTCTCTCTCGGTGTCGGGCCTAAGGTTTTCCTGCGGTGCCAATCGGAGTTCAGGACAGAAAGCTAAACAGGATTAGGAGGCTAGTTGTGTCTGACGATGTCTGGTGCAGGATTTTGCTTTTACAAGCAGGTTGTAAGAGGAACTGACCTGTCTCTCCAGCTTGGGCTCAACAACTAGACCTCCTTCAAACTTCTACATGTCCAAGCGCTCTTGGTCTTTCTCCCAAAATGGGTCTAGATTGCTCATAACAGCAAAGGCGTGTCTTCGCTTGAACAACCAAAGTGGCGACGGACAAGTTTCGCTTTCGAGGGCGGGGTGCTTCGGCCTGACAGTCATCAGACTTGACGCTCGAACGGGGGTGGGTTGAAAGGGGTGATGTAAGTTCCGGTCGCGGAGGCTTCGGCAAGTTTTTCTCACTGCTCTTAGAATATGGTAAGCCTGTGCCCGTGATTTGGGGGCTGGAATGGGCTGGGATGGGTCTGGTCAGGCCTACGCTGCCGTCCCGCTGTCCTGTTTGACATCAAGAGCTTCTGAAATCTCTGGGTGCGCGTGTTTGGATGGCCAGATGGTGCTGCTGCAAGAGAGCTGACAGCCTGCAGCTTTCCATGGTGGAAGGCTTCTCGTCATCAAGTCGAAGCCCATGCTTAAATGGGGGATAGAGAATTCACCATGCGTATACATTTTGTACGACTGACTGCCAGGCCGCGCGAAGACCGACACGACCATAAACGAATGCTGAGTGAAGAAGCTCTGGCACTCCGAGGTTTTGATCTGTTTTGCTGGGTTCTGGTCAACATCTTGCCCCACGGTTTCCAAACAAGATCAAAACCTCTCCTGCCGCTCTGCGACCAGGCAGAGTTCTCAGCTCTGCAGAGGGTGTAGCATCCGGTTTATCTGGCTTTGCAGTCGCTTTTTTTTGCAGGTTCCAGATGGCCTCGAGGCCTCATCTCGTTGATATTTCAATAGTTAAGGGTAAGCAAGGCAGGGACACCCCCACCCCCACGTACCCAGGTCCCCGCCCCCCTCTTCCCTACGTTACTCCTCGGTTTCATTGTCTAGGTTTCGTGGCCCCGATCTCAAGTCCCAACTTCCCATCTGAGAAAGGATCCGATCCGGAAGCGCTGCCTGCATGTTTCCAAGCCTACTCAAGTAACTCAAGTATTTGGTGAGCCGTGGATGGACCCGACCGAGCCCATTTGAACCCTGGCCGAGTAGCTGGCGGATGGCAATGAGGTATGAAGATTGGTCACAAATGTGCACAGTCTTTTGAGGCACGCAATAGACATGCGAGCTCCTTCACAGACATAAAGAGCAAGGTACTTTCGTTTTGCAGTTTGCTGGCAACGGCGGGACAAAGATTGTCCTCGAGCTCACCAGAAGAATTTTCCACCGGCCGGACAGAAGAAGAGAGGGCCCTCTTGTTGCAAAGCTGGAAGCCACAGAGCTCGCTGAGCACGAAGCACTGGCCGAATTGCTTCTTACATCAACACTCCAGAATGTAACAAGGTCTCGCAGACAGATGCAAGAACAAGCTGGAGCACAGCTTGATGCGCATTCTAAAACGCGCAGCCGACTGGCTAAGGCCATGCTGCCTAAGGCCATGCTGCCTGTCGCGAAAGATGAGCCAAATAAACATTGGACATGGAGCAAGATTGCAGCCGAAAGTCTGGGCTGTATCGCAAAGAGAGCTGCGCACGCACTTCATGCTCTTGCCAGCGAACCGACAGCTCCTGCGAAAATGCTCCCTAAAGCGTTGGATCCCTGTAGCGGCCTTCTGTTCAAAGAGCCTGGACAATCAGATCAGTTTGTTGCATGGTTGCAGGCGCTGTGTGAGGACATCATCCGAAAATCGATCTCCATTGACAATGTCGTCCAAATCATGATGACGGCCAAGGCAGGGCTTTCGTCTAGTCGAAAGAAGGCTCCGTATGCCTCCCGGGAATGAATTCTCCAAAGACTTTGTGCTCAGGCGCATCGAGCGGACGGCCTGAAAGACATCTGCATGGCCCGGGCCCTTGGACGTGGGACATCTGACTGAGACTCGCGGTTCTGGAGCTTTTCCTTCAACACCGGCACTAGAATCTTCGACTTCATGAAAGCCAATCTCCATTTCGGAGGGATCCAGAGGGCAAGATGCCGAGACTTGACACTTAACCGACTTAGCCCCCCTTAGCCCCCGAGCAGGAAGATCCCAAGAAGCGCGGCGCCAGGACTTCATCATCACCAACGAAGAGAAAATCAAGCCGACCCCGGCTTTCAAGGAGCTGATCCAGGACCGCACGTCCTTTCGTCTCCCGTCCACTCTTAAGTCAAATCGCACATGCAGTGAATTGGAGTGACACAGTGCAGTACTGCTAGCACGATCTGCAGATTCCAGGAGCCCACGCTGATGTACGAGCTTCTGATGCGGTGTGCGCCTCATTGCGCCTCAACACATTTCAACAAACCGACATCAAGTCCTCCTGATTTCCGCATATTTCCGCCATGTGACCCTGACCGAGGCGAAAGCCTACAAAGTGAGCTACGTCCAGGACAGCATCAGCTTCGGTAGACAGGTCGACTTCATGCATCCCGCCGCCCTAACCCTGCAGCCTGAGCCCTAGATTGCTCTAACCAGGTCACAAGTTCAAGCCAATCGTAGCTTTGCTTGCGGGCCAGCCGCATCCGAAGTCTATGCTGGAGGAGGCTGAACGGCACATGACCCACTCTGACCAAACAAGTACGATTCATGGCTTGCAGCTTTGTAGTATTTTGGAGTCCCCAGCATCCTCCGGCCTGTGTCACTCTTAGCACCACTTGGGCGGTCCGGATCAGAGACAGTCGCTCACACCAAAAAGAATGGACCAAGACCAGGCTTTCCTGCTTTATTGTATATTGGCGGTCAGTACAATTGTATACCTGTGGCCCCGACCGCAAAGCGGCACAGGCATTCTTTTGTTGATGGCCGACGTTCGTCTTTTCCGTGGCTAGATGGGCTAAGGCTAAGGGTCAACCATGGCAAACCCGTCTTCAGCAACTGAGAATCAGGATCTAAGTATCCAATGTCTCAAAGGCAATCAAAGGCACATGTGTCTCGCTGCAAGAGGGGCGCGGCATGATGAGAGCTTGTTGTGGCGAAGCATTCAGCATCGAGCCGACAGGCCTGGGTTTGCATCCCGCCCGCTGCTCCCTGAAAATGGCAGTTCGCCCATGTTAAACGTCGCCCTCCAAGAGCTCAAGAAACCAACTCAAGCCGACGTAAACCAAACAAAGCCGACGTACCAGTAGCATTCCTACGAGACAGAGTGAGAGAGGGCTTGAGGTCGTTTGAGGCCTCGGTGTGTGCTCATGGCGGCCATGGTGCCAATGGATCAGGCTGTGGAGGCGAATCCCGAGACACTCAAGCCAAAGCCAAGCCTAAAGCCTGGGGCGGCGGGGGGGGGGGGGGGGCGGGGGGCGGGGGGCGGGGGGGGGGGGGGCGGGGGGGGGGGAGAGAGGGGGGTCCTTTTGACTCAGTAAAAGCTTCTTCTAACTTCCTGAGCGGCTTTCGTGTCAGGTTTCATACTGCATGAAGCTGGACCTCCCCGATACCAAGGACCGGCACCTTAACACGATCTTGGGCTTTGATCATTTGGGTTTTGCGGCGGTTTGCAGCGGTTTGCAGCGAAAGCGGCGGTGCGGGGTGGTTGGGGGGTGGTTCGGGATGGTTTGGGGTGGTTTGGGGTTATATGTAAGACCATGTTGTTTGCGACAAAGTATGGTTGAGGGTCTCATACACGTGCGGTTTCGATCCACACCGAGAATGATGGCAGAAAGTGCCTCTCTGTAGCTGAGCCTGACGTGACGTGTCTTCAACAATGCCAGTAATTAAGAGCAAGCCGCGAGCCTTGCATAAATTCGAACGACGGTTCAAATTGCTCACGTCGCGTGCACATCTTGTGCACATGAACATACACTAGCCTCAATCCTGCGGCATCTCGATCTGAGAGCGAGTGTCTTCCCGCCATAGAGCGAGGCGAGCACTCGACCCATACTCTTGAGTCCAGGAAGCAGGATGCAGAGCACCGGAGTTTCCTCGTGCGTAGTTGCTCAAGATCGGATCCAACTTCGAATTTGCTTGGCCAGGATAGCGAGGACTTGGCCTTGCTGGGCCCCTAGAGCTGTCGGCGCTTATCTAGATTGCGTCACGTTGCTGTCTCTTCTTGTCTGATTGGGAAGCCATCTGAAAGCCAAAGCATCGGTTCACAGCAAAGCCACGGAGGTATTCTGCGCGGACAGAGCAGCTTCCGTCTGCTCGCTTGCCGAAGAAGCTGTCAAGGCACTTCAACGTGGAGAGAATTCTGCGAATTCTGCTTGGATGTGGAGTGCACCTTCATAAAGGGTTGGGGGTGGAGAAGCAAAAAAATCTTCCGGCTTCCCAGGCCACGAAAGTGCATTTTGGACCATGATTTTGTCGAGCTGCAGGCCCACCAACGTCGCATTTTTCTCGATGCCGACCCCGGCTGCCGTAGGCATTCTGGGAGAGGCCGGGGCTCAGGGTTTAGGGTTTCAGGGTTCCGGGATTAGGGTTTATGATTCAGGGTTTAGGGCGTGGGTGTTTTAAGGCTATTGAGTGGGAAACCGTCAATTGGTTCTCCGAGTGCCGCATGTTGCTGTTTACCTTCTTGGTTCGAGAACAGCAGAGCTGGCAGCAGTTGCTTTGTTATTCTCTGCCGCCTCCCTGAAGATTGCCATGACTCATACAGTTTTGTGAGATGCAAACCAGGATCAGAATCTCTGACGTTGGACAGGCCGACGAAGAAGTCACGGACATAAGCATAGCAGCGTGGGTCCCAGACTTTACCACTGCTAGTGCCTCACCTGAGCATCCGAAATCCTGCTTGATGGCCAAGTGATTCGAGATGATTCGAGTGTTCCGTCTGAGCGAGGTGTCGCCACACAACGATGATGGCGAGGCTTGGGAGGCCCGAGAATGCTCGCTGCATGGGTGAAGTGTGGTGAAGTCCTGCTGGCTTGACTAGTGTTTGACTCTGACTCACCTGCAATCATAATAATCATAAGAGTCATAAGAATCATACGAGTCATAAGCGTCATAAGAAGCATAAAAATCATAATAAATCATAATAATCATATGCGTGCTGAGCTCGCAAGGCCGGGCCAGCACCTGGGCCGCCAGGACGATACGCCGACAAGGCCAAGTGAAGCCCAAGTGAGGCGAGGCGAAGGCGAACCTGAAGTTCGCGCAGTCGATGTGGTCTCCGGCACTTGAGCCACGGCTCTGTCCACGCGGCAGAAGTAGCCAGAATCCAGCCCCAGATTGTGAACTGACTACCTGCAGATGCCAGGCGCAAGGGCTCTCGCTGGCTCAGCGGCTTCGCCAGCTCGACTTCTCTGACGACGAGGAGCTCTGAAAACTCCGAGACCCGCAACAACATGAATTCACGCAGTATGGTGCTCGATTTCAGGCATTTTGAAGACATGCCAGGATGAGGAAATTCAGTCGTCAAGCCCGTCTCTTAGCGGAGTGGTTGCCTCGCTAAGGCCAAGGAGAGTTCTACACATTTTTTTGACAACCGGCTGAAGCCAGAGCGCATCACAGGTGTGACGCCGAACCGTCTTCTCAAGCCCCACCCCGAAAGAGTTGAAACAAGGAGTGCCAGTCAGGTGTCCCCAAAAGTGGTCTCATGGTTCGATGGGCATTTGTAGTTGCCAAGGAGTCTGAGGAACCCCCCCCCTCCCCCATTAACAAGAAGCTGGGACATAACGGATGAAGGCCTCTCATGATTGCAAGTCGTATGGCTTCGCTGTAGCTTGCGTCCTTGAGTCCTTGAGGCTTGGTCTTCTTGACTGGCTTAAACCAGTCGGACCCCCCCTACAAGACTACCTGCCGCATACGACAGTTGTTCAACAGAGAGAATTCACTGAGGGCACGAGCTGCGGGAGCAGGAGGGCGGCACGGCTCTGCATGTCGCTCTGCTTGCAGACTGCGTTCCTTGCAGGGAGCCTCGGGTATCGTCATCCCGTGCCGTTGCAGGCTGACATGGCGGATCCTGATTCTGTGCTTGAGGAAGGCCATGAATCGGTGCCAACCTCAGCCGGGATCCGGCGACATGCAGGGGATGCAAATTGCAAGCCTCCCATGCAGAGTTCCGATGAGTATGGTACAAGACAGCACCAAGACATCCTGATCAGATACTGCCTTGGCCAGGCCCTTGTCACAGATGCGGGGATCGTGGTAGAAGACTGCCAGGAGTTCATCCAGGCGCCTCTTGCCATCTTTCGTTGTCTCTGAGAATAGATTCTGATAGATGCCTCTGATCACTGCGTATGGCCATTCATGGGTGCTGCCTCAGGGCATTCTCAAGCAACGCATGCAGTTGGCGCAAGGAGGTTGACAGTGACGACGACTGACAGCTTCTCCAGCATGTGTGGAGCTCAGAGAGGCAAGAAGAGAGTCGCATAGAGCTGAAAACTTGTCCGTGCCAGATCGCCACCACGCTGGCCAGACCGCACGGGCAGGGCGCTGGAATGGCTTTCTGCAATTTGCTGCCGCTCCGACTATCAGATTTCAATGCTTTGAACCGTCGTTCGATTTACATGTTCAGCACGGTCTGATGTTTGACATATCTTGACATAGGACATACTGGTAGGGCATAAACTGACTGCTGTGCACTTGTGGAGTTCGCTCTGGGGAGAGCTGTATGTTTTCCTCAGACCCTAGCAGGTAAACTATGCAACCATTGCAACAACCTTGTGTTCTTGAGACTTCAGCATCTACGTACACTGAGGCAGCAGGGCCATGCGTTTCATGCCGGACGGGTATGATGTCCCAGCGAGTGGAGCTGTGCATGCCACTCCGAACGGAGTGTTAGATTTTTCTGCTCGAACAATACTAGAGTGTACAGGATCCGTCCTGCGGCGAGTTACTTGCATGCCACCAGGTGAGAGTGATCACTTTCCAGAAAAGCGTTTTGGTTGGATGGGGCTGCTGATGCGGTATGTACACGTAGGAGCATGGTCAAAGCTGTTACTGTCGGACCTGGATATATTGCGTGTTCTTCGGATCTCAAAAGAAAGATGTTTTAATGTTGGTGGAAGAAAGTTAAGACCTGTGCTATCAGAAAGAGTTTGGACAGTTCATCCTGCATAATGACAGACAGAACATGATAACAACTCCTATGAAAGATTGCCCACCAGCATGGATTACATCGAATTGTGACTCATTCCTTAAGATATACATGTCATACAAAATGTTACATTCACTGTTCTCTCTCTCTCGTTTATTTTAGTGACTATAGATAACAGTATATACGTCTTTATTTATTATACACATACATATTTACACATACATACATATTGTATAACATTAAACATAAATATATATATATATATAAATATCTATATATATATATATATATTTTACATACGAAACATATCCATCTCGCAGCGGGCGTTGTCTCATGACCTTCAACTGTCTGATTCTTTGGTTTCCGCAAGCTCAAGGCTCCCTCCCAAGTCATTTGAGTGCAAGTCTACTCCAATAGCAGAGCATGAACTCACCTCGAGCTTGAAGCAGCCCTGCACACTAGCGGAGACGGCTTCCAATTGCGCAAGAGCTGAGCTACTCGACGCTCGAAACCTAGGACGCCCAAAACCGAGTTATCCATGGCGCAAGCGATGGCGAGCCGCATCGCAATTGGATGTGGGCAAGGCTTCTCATGGCCGGGCTCCAAGATACATAGCTACATCCACACATTGCATTCCGTACGACGGTGATGCCACAAGCCACGAGCGACTCGAACGGGATCGGGGACATGCGAGGCCTTGTGGGCAGCATGTCGTCCCTACGCCGCGCCACCAGGAAAACATGAAAGCTGGAGGGAGAGACTGAGAGCGGAGAAACTGACAAGCTAAATAAAGCAGGCAGGATACCAAGCTCGTGTTGGCTGCTACAACGCTCCTTGCACGCATGCAGAATGTGCTGCCTGGAGGAGCTTGCAGCTTCTTGCACGACAGAGCGCATGGCCAAACGTGCTGGCAGATCTGGAAGCGCCTTGAGCAAAAGAACTGCTGGGCCTTGAATTGAGTTTGCGCGTGGTTGCACAGAGCACAATCGGGCAGTGACAATGAGGAATGGCCAGCAAACGGCCACATGCCGGATGTCGTCGCACTCTCCGTCGGAATCAACGCGTGCGCCAGGCCCAGCAAGACTCTCTCACAGCTGTGTCTGGCTGTACTTGTGTTGAATTTCTGCGATATTTTGCGAACCCGCTACTGCCCCCATAAGCAAGGCGTATGCAAAGAGAGTGTGACAGCTTTCTACCGGCAGGGCTGCAAGATGGCAACATGCGCTCGGCAGGGGACCTGAGGATTGGGATCAGTTGCAGCGCATCGGACGGGAGCACATCGTGTTCTTGTTTTGACAAGCATGGTCATCTTCCTGCGCCTCAAGGCGTGAAACAGGAAAGCAGTATGTAATGCTGCATGAGCCAGGAGTCATGATAGATCACTGATAGTCATAGTCTGAACCCGCTGAGGTTTGGTATCTGCAATGGCCAAGCAAGACGTGAGGCAAACAGTTCATGGAGCGGCGTGAGCAAACTTGCTCCAACATGTTTGGCTTTCCACGGCTCGAAGCTCAACGGCTGTTATGCTCTCTCGGCGTCAGGCCGAACACTGTGGTCTACAACGGTGTGATCGCGGCGTGCAGCGGCGGCCAAGCGTCCCATCGCCAAGCTTGACACAAGCGACCAGTTGCACCATCAAGAACAAAGAGCCAAAATGAACCTAAACCCGAAAGCCTCAACCACATGATCCCGGCTTAGGTGGGAAGTGGCCCTGGGCTACTTCCAACGCATGAGGCTGCGAAGCTGACAGTTCAGTTTTTTAGCTTCCTCCAGCACGGAGTCGAAGTATGAGTGAGCCAGCGCATTGGTGTGAATCGAAATCCCTAAGCCACACACCCTGAGCCCTGAGTAAGACTACGTTGGGGAGACGGTGCGCCGCCCCGAAAGGCAAGCTGGCCTTGCAGACGTCATCAGCATCAACTCAACCCTCCACGGGCTGGCTGGAGGCTCCTCTTTGTTTGGGATGATGCCAAGCATCAAAGCAGTATGCAAAGCAGCATGCCAAGCAGTTGGTCCAGGAATCCAGTGGCTTCGCGCCCTGCATCTTCTAAAGGTCTGGCCGCTGCCGCTGCACATTGAGAGACTCTACATGTTCACTGCTGGCTTTGGGACTTCTCCGTCAAAGACCGCACCCCCCTTCCCGATCCTGTCTGCAGGATGCCGCTGCTGCCCCCTCGCCGATTCGCTTGGACATTGTGAGCTTCAATGTACCCAAGCTCAGTTTTCGCAGCCCGGAACGCGCCTCTGCCTTGACCTCGCTTGTCCCCATAGAGACTCCTCTATTGCAGATGATCCATGTCGTCCAAGTTCATCAGCCCTGTGAGCCTCACCTCTTACGGTCCTTTGCAGAATTCCTGGTCGCCCGAGCAAATGCTGCCAGGCTGCCATAAATGCTTGCCGCACAGAATGGGCAGCGTCCCCAGATGGCGAGCGCGCTGCCACCCAAACATTTGGGGATGTTGATGATGCCGCTAGTCATTCTCCTCAGTTGCATCGTTACCCTATCTATGAAAACTCGCTAAAGAAACAGTTTTCTATATACATATAATACCCATTGTATCTGATTTCATGTTTCTGCATGTGGTTTTGTATTACATACAAAAAGCCTGTCATTCCACATTATATATATATATATATATATATCTCTTCCGATCCTTACATGGCATTCTTCGACAGGAGCCACCGTTGCTCAGGTCCAGTCCTTGGCGCTGCTTGTCGATCTGCTGCGGGCCAGCTTGCGGCCCGATGTGGTCTGAGCCTTGGGCCCACAGCTGCTTTTTTCTGATATTCATGCACAAATGTCCTTTTATGTACGCATGCATGCATGTATGTATTCTTATATATCCTTATTCGTTTCTGCATCTCATGTTCATAGTCCCATTTTTACTATATACCATGTCATACGTATACCCCAGAAGATACTGCAACACAACGAAGCAACATTGTGTAATCCAATATGGCAATGAGATGGTACCGAATATAAGCTATTCAAGCAAAGAATAATCAGAAGTCTGAATTTAACGATATGCATATATATATATATATGAGTACAAATAAGGTGTGCATACAAGTATTCCAATATGATCTGGCACTAAAAGTTGCACGTCTTACGTTCTGCTCGATGTCGAGACCTGAATGAGAAGGCACCGCGCTATCAGAGCGCGTGGGGCACGAGTGGGGGATTTGGAAGTGAAGGCTTCGATGCCTCTGCTTTGCTGAACATGGTGGCATATGGGAGCCCGTAAAGCTCAGATGGTTCCGGTGGAGAGAGGGCAATTGAGCAGCATCAAGTGCTTCTGTGAGTTTTCAGTTATGGTTTGATCGGTGTTTTGCTTCGACCCAGGTCACTTGCAGCAGCCTGGTCAGCGCTTGCCTGTCAAACGGCAACTGGGCGAAGGCCAAGCCTAGTTCTTGAGCTGGTGGGAGTCTTTCACAGATGTGGACGGCAAGGCATTGTCCGTCTACTACGACATGCTGCAGTTCTTGCCAAGAGGCAGGCACCGTGTCAGAGCAATCTCGTCGCGTCACATGAATGCTTGCTGCAAACTGTGCTGCAAGACCGGACAAGTCATACTTGCAGACCATTGCGGCGAATGAGCATCCGCATCGACAGAATAATGTGGTTGGTGTTCTCCACCTTGGCTGTTCTCGGCTCAACTCGCCCTGTCTGAATGGACACTGCTCTAGTTTAATTGAGATGCCTTCGGCACATGCATGTCCACAGAGATGAGCCTTGGTTGGAAGTGCTGGTTGCAGAACAGTAGCGCGCAATCACCCAGAGTACCCTCAACCCAGCGAGTGCGAATGCCACCGGTGCCCAGCCTACCAACATAAGAGGAGCTCAGAGGTGCCCATCCGCTGCCTGACCCTCAGCTGTGAACCGCAGCCTTCGTCAAGCTCCCTGACAACTCAGGATCCAGGCGTCCACGCTGCTCAGCCAGCAGCATGGCAGGCTGTTTTCTGCAGCGGCAAAGTTTGCCTTCGGCATCCTTGTGCTGGTGCCACTAGTGCTGCTCGAATCTTGGAGCCATAGAATATCGTTGCAAGTCGCAATGTCAGCCATGGAAGCCAAAATATGCATGCTCACGCAGGCACGCACGCACGCGCGCATGCACGCACATAATCATAGAAGTCGCGAATAAGGATGACAGGCAGTGGTTCTCAATTGCTGTTTGGGGTCGAGGCTGGTATGAACCGGTCCCATCAGCCGCGTGCATGGCACACAGCATAGTGATAAAATATTGGAGAGGAAGAGAAAGCGGAGGTAGAAGTAGTAGAATATGGATGAGTGGCGTCTGATGTGCAGATGTTGGTGCGTTGGTATGCTGACGGGTTGTGCTGCAAAACAACGCCGTGTGCATTCTTTGCAAGTTGAATCTGACTGCAGGCGCCGTTGCTCCGTACCTGTTCCAAAATGGTGTTGTGTAGTCTGACAGTCTGACTGATGAAGAACCACCAACGATGTTCACAATGTTTCAGGTAGCTAATGACTGGTACTTTTTACTCTGAGTGAGCATGCTGTGCTTTTTAGAATATCAAAATCCCTCCATTGTACTTGTTCTGAACTCGGAGCCTTCCCATCCTGCATTCAAGCCTTCCTGTCTTTTCCACATTGGAGGGGCTGTCTTGTGAAAAGATGAGACTTTTCGCAAGAGGGCTCAGTTTAGTGATGGGTTCTCTCGTTTAGTTTCTTCTGAAAATCAAAAATTCGTTTGTGAGTCGAGGGTCGACTTTTCCCATCATCCCAAAGGAAAGGTTTCCTCAGTGTCATGTCTTTGCAAGAAGCCAATTCGACTAGCGTTGCTCTGTTGAATAAAAAAGGGTTTAAAAATCATGTGATGCATAAAAATCACATCAGATCTGGTTTGTGTGACTTACATCAGCTAGATTGTTTGCTCCATCTGGTAAGACAAGATAGGCATGGTCGTATCGCCATCCGGAAGCAGGCTAGTCATGAGACAAATGACATGACAGGATGTGATTTTCGATGGGATGTATCCTTTTGCATCTGCCTTACCCAACCCAACACGAGCAATTACCAAGGCTGTGCCGCGTTCCCTGCGACTTGAAACCACAAAGCTTAGGAGCTCTTGGCGTACGGGCTCCTCTTCTTCATCCTGACCTTAGCCATCTCGGTCCTGGCCTGGTGGCAGCCACAACCTGCAGCGAGCGGGGAGAAGGACGGAACTCAGGGAGTTCAGGGTTTTCACGGATTCCACGGTGCAGGATTCTGTTTTGCGCCTTTCAAGACCATGACCTCGACAGGTGAAGATGATGAAAGTGGCCGCCAACTTGCTGCACTACAGACAGCCTTCGCTGAGTTGGTTGACTTGTGCGTTTCTTTAAAATGTGGTGATGTACGTGCACACCGCACAGGAGTTACGCCTGGTATGTGCAAGCTACGTGTTTGTTTCAGTTCCTGTGGTACTGGTACGCATCCGATCGGATACTGCTAGATTGGTGCCTACAAACAACTGTGGATGCAAATCAGAAACTTCTGCTGACCCTTGCACAGCCTTTGGAACAGAACTGAAACAACGTTCCGGCAACTTCCTCACGTCCTGAGATACAGGAGGCGAACGTTTTTGGAAATTCAGCACCACAGCTTGAAAATGACAGGTTTGCAGGCACGAGCTCCATGGTCTCGGGGCTTCAGCAGGGGGCGGTGCTCAGCAAGAAAATCTATAGCACTACTTGCCACCGCAAGCAGAGCAGATCTGGTGAACTCAGACCACAAACCTTTTCTTTTTCTTGTGAAGAATCTTTGAACCCCAAGATATGAACCCTAAACCCGGTTTAGGGTTTAGGGTTCAGGGTTCAGGGTTTAGGGTTAAGAATTTAGGGTTTGATGCAGCCGGCAGCTTTTTGGAGGCACCCCGAAGTCTCTCGGGGCGCCTTCGTGCTGCCCGCGCGGCCGGGGACTCGCGACGCATGGCGGCCGTGCTGCGGGAGGCCGTTTGCCGATTCATAAAGCTCGGCCAACAGGGTTTTTAGTGGGTTTTTGGGTTAGACAGCTAGGCTCTGAGGCAGTTGAGCTTGCAGAGAGCTAAGAGCCTTCTTCAGACATTTCATGATCTTCACAAGTTGCAGACTCAGCTCTGCAGACGACTGCAGGCGCTGACGCCAGACCTGTGTGGAATCTTGCATGAGGCCAAGCCCGGGAAACACTAACCGCAATTCTTCTGACAAGACAGTTCTGTACCTTCATTGGTAATGAAAACTTCTGTAGTGCTGGAGTAACGGAGCTTGACGGAGGATGCAGACGCAGCAGAAGCCGAAGAGCTGACGGAGGAGGCCGTCTGCAAAGCTCATGACTCGCTGGGGTTGGGTGCAGGCACTTTGTTCAAGTGCGGTAGCTGCCGTAGCTGGTTGGCCCTTTTCGTCAGCACGTACAAGACTGTTCAATGCCCGAGCTTCTGTGAGTGTCTGCGGTGCTGGGTTAGGTCTGCAAGACGCTGCAAACGATCTCATGCAGCAGCACTTCCTTGCAAGCCTCTCGAAGAATGGACGACAGGAGTTTTAGGATTAGGAGGTTCCGCGGCTAGGTGCTGCATGTGGACCATGTCAGACCAGAGGCAGCCCACTCGCTAGCAGAGCGGACAATGCGCTAGCTGAGGCTGTGAAGGCAATGCATGCATCTTTTGGCCAGAGCTGCCTCTACCTTTCTGGCGGCGGCATGCTGGGCATGTACCACATAGGCCGGGCAGATAACTGCACATATGCCATAATATGCCATAACGTGCACCAAGGCTCGCAGGGCCAGTGAGCGTGTGGTGCCATGCAGCACATCACAGTTCAAACGGACATAGACCTCGAACAAGGGCCCTGACGGTTCTGACCCTTTCGTCCAGCCATGCTACATCGCAAGGCACAGTTCGTCAACTTCTCGATGATGGCTTGCTTCCAGATCATCTCTGTGGAACCTCCGCAGCCTAGCCAGCATAGTTTTTCGAATCAGATCACGCTGGACTCTGGCGCCAGGCTTCACAAGTGACGGTGCCTGTACCGAGCAGCCCCGTTGTTGGCCGAATGGGCAGCCAAGGTTGGTTCCATTGTCGGCGCTTTCGTAGCGACGCGAACAGACCAAGAGCTCAGGGAAGAGCTCAACACTCTGGAGGAGAAAGACTGTCAGCCACGACTCGTCACGTCGTGTACTGTAGCAAAGCTTGACACTGAGAGTTTTGTTGCCGCTGCGCCTTTTCGACTTGCTGTGTCGTTCTTGGGTTGGCTGTCAAGCGCTTTGCTGCGCAACTTCCCCTCAATTTGGTCTGGGTGGCAGCCGAATGCAGAGATGCTGAGTGATGCACTGTCATGCTTCTTCTTCTTCTTCTTTGTCTCAATCCTGCATCGGTTTGGACACCCCCCCCCCCCCACCCCCCCGCAAGCTAGGCATCATGCAGGATCTGTGTTTTGTCAGAGGCATTCGTGATTTCTTGTAACTCGCATCTGCATATTGACAATTCGAAATTGGAGCTCCACATTGTTTCATTGGTCATTTGAAGATGCGGCTTTCTCTGGTGTTTGCCTTTTCCGCTTTCTTCTCTTCATTATTCGGTTTCGATTCTTGCCAGTCTGCCCCGGAAGCCCTGGAACTTTCCGTTGGTGACTCGGACTTCTTGCGTGGCTATGTTTTTTTTTTTGTTTTTCTGCGCTTTCCTGCTGTTAGTTCACAGTTATTGATTTCGTTGCGCTTCTTGCTGTGACTGTCTGCTTTTGCTTTGGCTCTGCACTCTTGCCTTCCGCATTGTGTTTGGCTCTTTCAGCTGGTTGAGTTGTCTGCTTGTATATTCCTGTGTTTGCGGTCGTCGTTGTTGTCGACGTTGCTGCTGGTGCAGCTACACTACAGTGGTGGCGTTGCTGTTGTTGCTGGGTGGTGCTGTGGGTGTTGTTGTTGGTGCTTTTGTTGTTGGTGGTGGCGTTTGTTGTTGGTGGTGGTGTTTGTTGTTGTTGGTGTGTGGTGCCGGTGCCGGTGCCGGTGGTGGCGGTGGTGGTGGCGGTGGTGGGGTGGTGGTGGTTGTTGTTGGTGGTTTTGGTGGTGTTGCTGCTGTTGGTCGTGATGGTGGTGGCCATTGTTGCTGCATTTTCTTGCATCTTCTACTTCCATGTCGGCACGCCATTTTCTTTTTCCAGCGGGCTTGTACTCCACTAGTCTTCTTAATGTCTATCTTCCGTTGTGGCCAACCAGGCCACTGTTGTGTTGCAGGAGTGGTACAGACAGATGGGGCCTGAGGAGGGCCCCTTCCCTGTCCCGTACTGGGAGGCAGGACCACCTCTGCCCAACTCTTCATATTATTAATATGCATTCCCTCGAATATAGATTCTGCTGCGTTTGTGGATGTGATCAAGAGTTCAGGTGGTAGTCACGAATCTAGAGAGGGTAGTCTAGAGTAGGTATGATGGCGGGCTCTCCTCCGTCTGGTTATCCTGTCTACTTAGAATTCCTTTGACGTTGCCTACGTGTGCCAGCTATTGGAGCCATTTTTGCCCTTCCCATCATGGCCGATGCAGCTCTCCCATGTGCCCTTGTTCTGCACAGGTTGTGGTTCGCGTGCTTTGGCGAGGCAAGATGTGTTTCTTTCCTGCTGGTGAGGGAAGACGCTGCCAGGGTGCGGTCTGTTGCCATTGTTGACGGGTTGACGGGAGTGGATGGGTTGTTCTGTTTCCCATGCTGGTCTTACACTGTGTGGTCTCGGGCAGACTGGTCGGATGCTTGCATCGTAGTCGTAACAGCTAGAAGTGACTCTTCCTCGGTGCAAGTGACTTGGCAGAGCACGCGAAGTTGGTCATTCTTATGTGGGTTGTTTGCGGAGGCTTCGGCGATTCGGCTTGATCTTTGAAGGCTTGGGTTGCAACCTTTCTCGTATGGCACTCCCTCGGATCCGGCAGCCTCCCCTGCTTGAAGCTTTTAGTGTAAAAAGTGTGTAAAACATGTAAATGAGCGACGGTGAAATCCAGGTATATGAAACGTAGGAAATTGTAGAATTCGGAACAACGACGCCAGTCTGGGGATTAATTGACTCCCCCGTCTTTTGATCGCGGAAGGCTACATCTACGACTACATGAACCAGCAAGTTGGATGCACAGTAGAATAGCTAGTTTAATGGCATCGGGGATGTTGACGGCGATGAAGCAGCAAGTCTGTCCTCTGTGGAATCAGCGACTTCCTCGGCAGCCATTGACAGCCTGCGGAAGCACATCGAAAGCATCGCCCTCATCTCCCAGGTACCGCAACCAGGCCTCCTTCGTTTCCATGGGCCTGACCTTTGCGGAGGCCTTCGAGAGAACGGGCAGGCCACTTGTGCAGCTAGTAAGGTGGCATGTTGCTTGACAGCTTGACACGTCTAGCGCTCATGGAAGCACCTGCGCAGCATATGGCCATGTCGAACGTTCTGACCTCGTGTGGGTTTGGTCAATTTCGGTTGCGCCACAACGGCCTGCAGGACGTTCACCATCACCTGCACGCCGACTTGCGGCGGACCCCTGCTGCTGCTAAACAGGCATCAAGAATGCACCATAGAACAGAACAGCTTGCCAAGGAAGTTGTAAGGCAACAACACTGACACCTGCAAGCCTGCAAGCCTGCCGCTGCCGTATGCCAAGGCACACTGCGCCGAACGTTCTCATTGCTTCAGCGACCCGGTAATTTTGTTGATGCTCTTCACATGCATGCTGCCACTGGCTTTCCGGTCCGGGCCAGACCGGCATTCCAAAGTTTCGCTTGCTTCGCCAACCAGTATGCAGTCCATGCTGCTGCAGCAAGCACAGCCGAGGCAGTCTGCGCCTCGTCATCTATGCCAATGCTGGTGCAGGCCACGCTTCGATGAGCTTTGTGGTGTCTGAGTCTGCAGCATGAGCCGACCACCAGCAACACCGGCAGCAACCGAGGCCGTGCGGCTTCTCGAGAAGGCCCCAGATGGGACTGCGAGACCCTGGCCAGGCCGGGCCTAAAAGTTAGGTAGGAGGACCTAAGGAGGTGGAAAGGAGCACCGTAGCCGGGTAAGGCAAGATGAAGCAAGGTAGTGTGAAGCTGGGCACAGTTCAAGCCTGACAGGTGTCACGGCCCTCGTGCGCGATGGGACCATGATGGCCGATTCTCCATGCCATGAGCTTGCCGCGATGCTCAACACGCCTCTTGACATCACAGTGCAACCCACTTGGCGCAGAGTATTTGACAATAAGAGTCTTAACGCTTAAGACGTGCATGTGCTACCGTACAGCAGGTCACAGGCAAAAATCTTGGAGCTGTTGCGACTCTTTCACAGAGGCCAGATAAGACCAGACCGAGCCAATGGCATGTCGTAGCATCCAAGGCGGTGGTCCATCGTCTCTCAGGTAGCGCAGCCGAATCGCACAGTCAGAAGCGAGTGGAATTGATGGAATTGCTGCTGTTGCGTTTGGGGTTTGAGGGCCCATGGAACTGCTATGCCTGCCCGTGCCTGCCCATCGCTGAAGGTGAATCCGCACGTGGTGCCGTTGTCCATGCCATTTTTGCTGGCCAACCGCCTTAGGCGTTGCTGCAGCAGTGTTTCTTGGCTGGCTTCGGCTCGGCAGGTTTTACATGGGCTCACAGAATTTCTGCAAGCCTCCAGAAGGTCCCATCGCGGATGGCCCATCACAGCCCAGCTCCATGTGCACATGCGGCTCTCTTGCTAAGGCTTGGGCACGTGTGGGCGACGCGGAGCCCTCGCTCCGCAGGCGCTCAAATGGTTAGAGCATTCTTGAGCGCAGAGGTCACGCTGTGGAGCTTGAGATGACTACCCTAACCCCTAAACCCTAAAGCCTAAAGCCCAATTAAACCCTCTTGTAAGACTTGTGAGGTGCATCTGGACGACGCTGCGCATGTTTCAGTCCTGGACAGGGCTCCCGCGACAAGGCTGGAGGGAGAAGCTCAGTGGCCTCGCCCTGTGAAGGGTTTAGGGTTTAGGGTTTAGGGTTTGGGGTTTGGGGTTTGGGGTTTAGGGTTCAGGGTTTAGGGTTTAGTGTTTAGGGCCCTAACGCCCTGAACCCGGTGAACCCGCCCTTGGGGGACATAATAGAACCTGAGCCGCAAAGGTAAAGTCCCTGAACACTGCCCATGGTGCACACAGGGCCTGGCGAACAGAATGTCCCTCGCTCTTTTACCTTTGGGACAGATCGCAGGTGGCTGGATCTACAACCTACTGTTCCAGGACTACTTTGGAGACGCACCTCGTGCCAAACATCCGCAAACCTCGGAGTCGCCCTGCTAAGAAGAACCTATCAGTCTACGACCCCTTGCAGGCTCCGAATTGTAGGAGTCCACTGGTCACTTCACGAGAGAGGCTCCCTTGTGCTGAGTGGCTGTTGAGCTACTTCAGGGCTTTGCGGAGTTTAGGATTCAGTGTTTCAACGTAGTTGCGGGTTTACAAAATTCTCCTTCAACAGCTTCACCGCAGCTCTGCCGGGGTGCTTCTTCAAAGTAGATGAGTAGCACTTTCATACTCACTTTACATCACCTCGCCTTTTGCGTTGAACTTTTGTGTCAGTGAACAGCTTGATGAGGTAAACATAGTCCACGACGAGATGCGCTTCATGGACTACGTGCGCGTCATAAAGAACGAGATTAGCATGGATGATTTCCAGAAGAAGGTTTGGCCGACTATTCTTGAGTATCATCATGTTTGAAAGTCAGCTAGCATAAAGCTACATAAGTCTGCTGGCACCCTTCGTGACTGGCAGGCTTTCCTTGGTGCGGAGACGAGCATACGACCGCTGCAGCGCCACAAGCTGCGAGCGAAAGTGGAGGACTGAAGGGAGCGCTGACCCGCAAGCTGTGCTTGGACTTTGGCCTGTTTTCAATTGCCAGATTCTGCCAGATATTCAATTGCCAGATATCATCCTCTTGTAGGCTGCCCTGCGTGCAGCCCACGCGGCAAGTGCCGCGGCTCCTGTCACGAGCTCACCGCGACGGCAGCGACGAGCCCTGGGGCTAGGGGCTGAAGATGGAGTGTCAAAGCAAGTCAGAACATTCTTCGAGTCTCAGTAAGCTGGAGCACCCCGGCAATGAAGAAGCAGATGCTGGTATCTGAGGCGAAGAACGCGCATGTGATGACTGGCATTATAGACCAGCAAACCATTATCAGTCGTGTGGTTGAGCAAAGCCGCCATGCCCGCACTTTTTGGCCGTTGTGAAGCGCGATGACTTGCATTGTCAATTCTCTGGTGCCATCCGATTTTCCTAAAGACGGCACCACCGCTGTAATGTCTTTATTCCTGTGTAGACAGCGTGGCCGGATATGTGAAGTGGGACACGGAGGAGTGACTTGTTTGCCCAATGCTAAGCCCTCTGCCGAAGCCCATATGTCTCCTCTGCTACCGGAGCTCACGCTGAGCCTGATCACTGATGCCAGTGTTCTGCAAGTCAGATAGCAAGTTGAGCTTTGCATTTTCCTTTAGCGTTTCCTCCTCCTACTTGCTCATGCAATCCATGCAAGCACCTGGTGTCTTGTTAGCGCTTTCCGAATACGAGCAACTGTAGCATGCAGTGGGAACTGATGCGGGGCACGTATTGTGAAAGCTTCCTCCTAACATTGTGCTCGGTTTAGTATCCCCCGCCCCCCCCCCCCCGCCCTCTTTTTCACCAGATAAGCTCATACTTTTCCGCCCAACAAAACATGAAATGGGTTGGGGGGTTGAGGGGTTGAGAGGTTGGGCGTGGAGGGTTGCGGAGCTTAGAGGTGAAGGGGTTCTGCCTTGGAAAAATGGGGCTGCGGATTTATGTGGATTACTCCCTCGGAGCAGTGTTTGGGCCCTTGTTCGTATTCGAACGTTAAACGTAGGTCACATAAAGCTTGGCTTTAGAAACCTTGGGAATCTTAAGCTGGAATCTGGCCAAGCCTTGAAGCTTGAGGGCCTGAGGGCTCCAGGCCGTTTGATTCATCAACCTTTTCCTTTCAAGGCCCCAGGGACTCCCGGTCCACGAACTTCGCAATGTTTCGGGTAACCCTGTCAATAGGGGAGGGCGCAGAATTAGGCTTGCAAACTCGCATAATAGTGGGCTCATAGTGGGTAACGATACTGCGTCGGGCACAACATGAACATGCTCAAGTGTGAAGTCTCCAACGCCAAGACCCAAACGTAACCTGTGAGCAACCTGCGGAGCAAGTGACAGAATGATGCACGAAGACGCGGCCCCGGCATCGCCATGTCTTTCACAAGATCCTTTCAAGAAGCAGGTCGGAACGTGTCGGCACGATGACGGCAGCGAACCGGCTGCTAGCTTCCACAGTTTCCCAGATCAATGGACCGGGACCGCGCCAGTTTTCGAAGATTGTGCCGGAAGCCTGTGCCACCATGTGCCACGTCACGAGCAGACAACTTGCTCCTGCTTGGTGCGTGAAGCAGCTTTGGTCGGATGGCTTCCTACAGATGTCAGCGCTTGGAGCTCCGAGCAGAGCAGGGTCCAGAGTTGCCTAATGGATGTCCTAAAATTGGTCGAAATAACGATGAGGTAAATCTTTTATTGTACCCATTGTACTTTGGCTGCTTGAGGACCGAAAGTTTTTGCATGACCTGCACGTCTTTGCGTCGTGACGCCGTGAACATCCAGGACGCTGGCCTAATCTTGAAACGAGAGCTGTGAGAGGTGCATTGCTTGAGATTGCCCCTAAGCGCGTGCACCTCTCACTTTTGATGCCATGAGTTCTGGTAACGGCGCACCAGACGCGAAGTTCGAACGCAGGCGCTGTAGTGACTCAGCAAGCAAGAGCGCGAGCAATCCTTCACAGAGGACGCATGGAGCCTCGCGAGAAGTTCCAAGACGCTCAAGATGCAGAGAAAAGCTGATAGAGTTTGAGACTCTGCCTTGCCGTTGCCACACAGGCTGCTTGTTAGGGAGGTTAGAGTGCCCAAGGAGGGATCACAAACACGACTTAGGAAGAATAACCTTGTCAAGGGCAGAACAGGTAGACGCAAAGTGTGTGCAAGGGATCATGGATGAGTTCATCTTGGCAAGACTACAATGACTACAAAATCCGCTGAGCAGAGCCTGCAGAGCCCAGTGATGCCCACTGGCAAGGTGCCGATGCCACGGCTGCCGATGGTCTCCTCATGGCCTGTGATCAGGGGGGCCTTTGGAGGATGACAGCAGGGGTTGGGTTGTCGAACTTGGGGCAGCACTCCAGACTTGGTACCTGCTTCAGTGGCCCAGCAGAGCCAATGTTTGCATGCATGCGCTAGGGATGCTTTGGCTTCCATTGCCTTGCGGCAACGACGTGGGCCGCGGTCAGGCCCACAGTTGCTAGGTCCTTGCAATGGGCTGGTTGATAATGCTTTCATGGCCAATCTCCCGCTTGTGATCGGTACGGTTCGGTACGGGCTGCAGGCCTGGACCGCATGCTTTCGGCTTGGTGCCAAGAAGGTGCCGTGATGCGTCAGCGGAATGCAGCCATGGACATCGCAGTGAGTCTGCCCCTCAAAGTCTCACGCGCCGAGGAGCTGCAATCGGTGCGTGCTCCAGAGGCCGAGAGTGCTGACAACACTCTCTGAAAGCCCAACTGTTTCAATTCCACCATTGTAGGCAGGACTAGGCAGGGGCCTAGGGCCGCAATTGTGTATCTCGATAAGGCCTGGAGTGGCAACGTGCAGTGCAGCTGCTGCGGCAGCTCCTTGGCCTAGCAAGGGCATACAAAGATACTGTAAATGATGAGGGGACGGTGTCAATGCAAGTCCCACCCCCCAGTGCAGATGCCCTCCAGCAGCTGAGGATGCTTCAGCTGAAAATGGAAACTGACCTGTGGATTTGGAGTGCGCTCCTCAGTGAGATGGCCGCGAAGCCAAGTTCCATGATTTGCTGCCTGTAGTAGCAGTTCTCTTGAAGATCCGTTACACCTTGTCGGGCTTCAAACTCCAGCCACCAAATCGGAACTGATTCATCATTATGTGGCAAGTTGAACTGGAGGTGCAGCGATCAGTGCCTGTGAGAAGGTCCGCCTGAGGGGGACAGACAAAATGGGCTCCCCACCTTGAACTGATGTCAGACTCCGGCGAGGGCCACGCATGGCACTTGGCTTTTCATCTTCTTCGTGATGTGAGCCGCAGAACAGGCCAGAGCCCCAGCGCAGGCTGTCGCCACTCACCTTGTCGGGTTGTGGAAGGGAGCACACTGAGCACACCCCGGTCGCTTTTCCAAGCATTTCTGCAGCACAGGGTCGAAGGAGCTCGAAGGGACAGCCTGGAAGCAGTCGTGTAAATGCCTCGCCCAACGGAGACACCCCCCACTCCTGGGTTCTTGCAAGGGCAACTGGAGGCACGCACACGTTCATTGCTTTTCGTTACGCTATGCTTCTGTCTCGCGTGAGTGGGGCTGAGCCCTGTGGATCTTCATCCTTTTTCGTGCATGCAGTTCCTGGCCAGCAGTACCCATACTTTCTCATACAACATCCACTAGTCCATTAGAACCCCATTCAGTGCAGTTCATCCATCTGCAGATGCTTCTCATCTTCCATGGCTCGAGCGCTTTGCAACTCCACGCAGATGCATAGATGATGGGTGAGTTCGCCATCTTGGGCAGAGGAAACTTGCTGAGTTGCATCGAAGCTCTGTGTAATATATCAAGATATCCAGCGCGGCCAGGTGGACGTACTTGCAAGTCAAACAAGCAATGCAGCTACAACCGAGGTGATGCCAGTTTAGCTAGGTATTTCATTCACGCGCTACTGCATGCATGGGGCGGGGGCGGGGGGGCAGAGGGGCACGGGGGCACAGAGGCGGGTGGATTGCTTTTAGCACCCCCGCGCCTTGGCTTTACAAGCAGCATTGCCCCACAGAATCCTTGGCAGCTGTCACATATTGTTCAGAAATCCAAGTGTACATGTTTACGTGTGGGTGGGCGGGTGAGTGTGGATACAGGTGGGGCATGAGTGAGGGTGTGGGTGGGCAAGTGAGGAGCAGGCGATTGTTTTGCCAACCTTGCATTGACCTTTAAACTGCACGTTCGGCATGCGTGCATGCCATCCAGTCCTTCGCACGATCGAGGTTTGAACCCTGATGTCGTTGTGCGCTTCACAGTCAATGACCATGAGCTGCTGATGGGCTCTTGCTGGGCGATTCCATGCACTCCAGAAGCTGTTAAGTGGATACCGTTGGGGATCCGCACAGTGCTAAGAGCACGCTGACACGGCACAAGGTCTACAATGCCAGCATCAGCGCGTGTGAGAAGGGTCACCAGCCTCTTGGCCTGATCTCGGAGTTTTGCATGGATGACTTCAGAAAATGACAGGTGGGAGTGGGTGGAGTAGGGATGTTTGTTCCAAGTTGCAAGACATTCATGTCGACACATGCTTGCTTCCAAGTGGTTGAGGTGGCGTCGGGCGATTGCGCTCTTTGCGGAGATGCCCCACCGAGCTATACTCCCAAACACGGTGCCTTGAATCAGCTTTGAGCTTCTTCTGGACGTGTTTTCGGCCCAAGCATCATTTGTAGAGTGCAAGCGTGCTGATGCCAGGTGAGCTACAACTCCACGGTGCAGTCCTCAACAGAGGGCGAGAGGGGTTAAGGGTGGGGTGGGGGGGAGCAATCCTTCTCCTTCATGAGCGTTCGTAGAGTGAACATTTCCCTGTCACTCGGTTGAACTCTTGCTCATGAGGTCAGCGCTTGCGAAAAGAGCCTCCGTTGGGCTGAGGCAGCTGCAACATAGGTTGTTACTTAGTTTGCAGTGCTGTGCTAGCAAGTGTAATCTCATAGCTCATGCTCAGCCTCCCCACAAGCTTGTGCACGACTTCCTGATGCACCACTAGTGTTTTAGTTGTGCCTGTGCATCATTCTCAGGGCTTCGTGCTTCAAGCGAGAGCGATGCTTCTGCGAACTGCACCGTTGATAGCACAGCACTGCGACTTCTGGTCATAGCACGTCCCGTTGTTCTCGGCTCGGGGAGATGTGGGCATGCTCACCAAGCAATGTCGGTAGGCTCCGCCCGCTTTTAAAGAATGGTAGTGACACCCCCTTTGTCTGGTTGCGATGGTTCCACATGTTCCACCTACACGTTCGAACTGGACACAAATGTGTCGTATTTGCCAGGGACCGCGAGGGCTAAGTTGCAACCAATTTGGA